AATGATTCCTAATGATATTCTGCTCTACTCATAGATTGGTGGCTAGCCCAATTGTCATCAGAGAGGCTTCATCCAGCAACTGATGGAAACAGATGCAGACCCACAACCAAACATTAGGTGTTCTGGGAATCCTGCAGAAGAGAAGGAAAAACGATCGTAGGAGCCAGAATGTAGCTGAAGTTTTCCTGGTCCTGCCTGGCCCACAGTCAGGACAAATCTCTCCCATTCGCATCCCCCAAGTAAACACACAGAGACTTATATTACTTATAAACTGTATGGCCGTGGTAGGGTGCTTGCTCTTATATCTTAAATTAACCCATTTCTATAAATCTATACCTTGCCATGTGGCTCATGGCTTACCGATATCTTACATCACGCTTCTCCTCATGGTGGCTGTCAGCATCTCCCTGCCTCAGCCTTCCACCTCCCAGCATTCTCCTCCTTCTTGTCCCACCTACACTATCCTTCCTGCCTGGCTACTGGCCATTCAGCATTCTATTTATCAATCAATCATAGTAATATATATTTACAGCATATAGGACATCCCACAGCACTTACTTCCCCTTTTCTGTTTTTTCAAAAAGAAGATTTTAACTTTCACATAGTAAAATTACATATAACAAAACAAGCAAGAATTACAGTTACAATATCTAGTCTATTTATAATATCTAGTCTATTTGGATTTGGCAGAATTAAAGAAGATATCCTATCTATCCTATATTTGTAAGTCTAAGATTTCATCTCTAACTTATCTTTTAGCATAACTAAGGAAATTATAACTATCTAGTCTTCAACTACATCAAAGACCTCAGAAGAATATAATATTACCTGAGAAATGGAAGAAGGATGCAAGCAACTTTCAGGAGTATTGCAAGAGTAGACAGAGACAGCTAGCAGCCTAGACAGTCATCCAAAGTTCTTCTGTAAAGTTGGGGCATCTGTCTTCAGCCCACAGGGCTAGAGTCTCTCAGTCACTTCTCTCTGTGTCCTGTAGAATGTCTGGCAGTTTCCTCTGCAAAGCAGGAACCAGAAGGACCATTTTGCCAAGCAAAGTTCAGTGGTCACCTTCCTATGGGTCCTGCATGTCCAGTCAATCAAGCAGTCCAGGCCAGAACAGTTTCTTGCCCAAATGGCTATTTTTGCCAAGAAGAAGATAAACTCCATATAGAGTGTCTTCGATGCCCATCCTCCTCTCTGAAGTAAATTCGTGCTGCTAGGAGCAGACATGTCTCACTGTCCAGAAAGTCTAAATTTTTTAAATATTTTAAATGCCATATTCTGTAGGTCTTTGAAGTGTTTGATGATTACCTACCTAACTGAATTATATCTATGTATATAATGTATATTATATATGTACCTTGAAAACTTAGTATGAATACAAGTTTAACTATCATAGAAGACTAATTATTAATCTGTATTTCTTAATTATCCATTACAATCTAAATGAGTTACATAAGCATAACACCTTAAACAAGAGTAGAAATATATATATAGTAAAACAAAATCAACTCTAAATTTGTGTCAATAAACTAAAATCAGTAACAATGTAAAACATTTTAAACAAGCTGTTCTTTAAAAGTAGGTTCAATAATTTACCCCTTCATCCTATCATATCTAAACTATCCCCTTTTCTTCTTTAGAAAGGGATTGCATTTATTATCAACCTGCTTTTAAATAAAAATACTGGGTTTGCTCTGTCCCACACCAGAGGGCTCTTCTGATATGGGACAGAAAAATCTCTCAACCTTTTGTTTTAGCAATATGCTTGGGTTTAGAGAAGGAGTGAGCAAATTCCATCTCCAAAGCCAACTTGGTATATTTGGGAATTTGAGTGTAGCTTCTCATACTACTTCCTGCTGAATGAGGGTGCTGTATCTTATGGGGACACAAAGAAAATATTAGGATTATGGAGTAGTCTGTGAGGGTGTATTGTCATTGTCTGAGCCAGTTGCCTTGAAACCATTTTGGATGTTGGATTATCTGGGCCATGGTGTCATCGGAGACCTTTCAGGGGGTCTTGGCTGGTTAAACCTGATGTATCTTAATCTGGAACAAATCCGTAGCCTCTGGCTTTCTGTGGAAACAAAAGCAGAGCCTCCTTTTTAAAGCACCCTATCCTTACATCCAAATTTTGAAGTCAAGGTATCTTTAAAATATACATATTGGCTTAGCTCAATAGCTTTTACAATCAAATGTTTTTGTGCTGTTAAAAATTCCAAAGACAATACAATCCAGATTCTCTGTGTAATATCCATCTTTAGGTGGCTTATTTTTTATACTACTTTTACTGTCTTTTTAAAGACTTTATTTTTAAAAACTATTTCTTTATATAACTGCCTATTTTTTTTCTCTTTCAAGCCTATATACATTTTTACATACATTGTAAGCTGTTTAGAGGTTTATCCCATCTCAATCTGTCTTATTGTGAATGTATTGCTTTAAACTGCAGCATTCTAAGACTGAAATAGCAGCTATGGCTGCTGGCTCTGCCCACCTCAGCTTTTCAACATGGTGGTGGTTTACCAGCAGCTCTGGAAACCATGCTCCCACAGACTCTGGGAAGCAGTGGGTCTATGATTCCATCCAGCAGCATGTAACCCAGAAACCTCTTTTTTTTAACTAGCAAAAACTATATCTAACACACAGCATAGTGCACAGCTTGGAGACACTTCTGTGTAACATTGCGTAGGTCAAGCCTGCATGCCATGAACCTGCCATAGAGTAGCTCAAACCTTCAGGCTGCCGTTAACTTGAGAGAGAGGAAGCTGCTTTTAGCTCTGTTTTAGAATCCTTTTTCTCAGGTTTTAGGTGGAAACTCTTGCCAACCCACTGGGGGCCATTTGTAGCTGAAGTTTTCCTGGTCCTGCCTGGCCCACAGTCAGGACAAATCTCTCCCATTCGCATACCAAGTAAACACACAGAGACTTATATTACTTATAAACTGTATGGCTGTGGCAGGGTGCTTGCTATCTGTTCTTATATCTTAAATTAACCCATTTCTATAAATCTATACCTTGCCATGTGGCTCATGGCTTACCGGTATCTTACATCATGCTTCTCCTCGTGGCAGCTGTCAGCGTCTTCCTGCCTCAGCCTTCCACCTCCCAGCATTCTCCTCCTCCTTGTCCTGCCTACACTATCGTTCCTGCCTGGCTACTGGCCAATCAGCTTTCTATTTATCAATTAATCATAGCAACTTATATTTATAGCATACAGGACATCCCACAGCACCAGAAGGGGTCAAGGACAAAAGAAAACCCAGAGAATCAACTAACTTGGGCTCATAGGGGCTGACAGAGACTGAACTGACAGAGCCTGCATGGGACTGACCTAGGCCCTCTGCATATGTGTTACAGTTGTGTAGCTTGGTCTTCTTGTGGGACTCCTAACAGTGGGAGCAGGGGCTGTCTCTAATTCGTTTGCTGGCTTTTAGGACCCTTATCCTCATACTAGGGTGCCTTGTCCAGTCTTCACCTTGATATGCCATGTTTTGTTGATATCTATGGGAGGCCTGTCCTTCTCTGAAAAGAAACAGGAGGACTGGATGGGGAAGGGGAGGCACAGGGGGAAGGTGTAGTGGGGGACAAGGAGGAGAGAAAGGAGGGGAAACAGTGGTTGGGTTGTAAAATATAGGTGGATGGGTGGATGGGTGGATGGGTGGATGGATGGATGGATGGATGGATGGATGGATGGATGGATGGATGGATGGATGGAT